GGAAATGGTAGTCGGACAGAAGTGCTCTGCTGTATTTCGTATTTCGTCCCTCTGAAGGAAAGTTCAATTCGAGTCGTTTTCTTTTCTTCTGCTGCAGAACCAAAGAGCAAAGAATCTAGCACAAGAATGTGGTGAACTGCCACCAAAACGAAAGGTGTCAGGAGAGTCTTTCTTTYTTCCCGATGGTGGACAAGAGCCTACTAGGAGAGGCGATGATGGGACAAAGGATTCAGAGAAGCGATTCGCGTAGCCAATTCCAACTATGTTAGGTCGCCCAAGGAGCTTTTCGTGAAACTATCTTGCTGGTGTTAATTTAGTAGGACTTCCCAACTTCTGTCAATCYGAATTGCCTTCAGTCCTTTCACTATGACCAAGGTTGGATCAGAAGACACAACACGCGCTTCCTTTCTGAGACTTATCATAMCCGATCACATTACTAATGCGGAGGAACAAGCTGAAGAGCTTGAATTTTGTTCGTTTGAATATATGRCAGGTCAACAGTATTTGATTTKAAATATCTAAGTATAATCTATTTATCTATTGGGCTATTGTTAGTAGCTCGTAATGTCTCCCCAGTTCTACATTTAGTTCGATGGGATTGCTACATTTGAAGGAGTGGCATCTCGAGTCATCGTCGTCGATGTCGAAATTCCTCGGAGAAGATGCTTTCGCTGCCACAAGAACTTCAACCAGAGGTTGGTATCTTCCTTGCGAATGTAATCAAAGGGAGTATTCCCCCGGATGTCCGCCATAAGAACCTGCTCTGGACAGTGCTTTAGAATGAGTTCAACCAGCTCAAAGTTCGGGGTAGGAGTCCAGCATGCATCRTGTAGCGGGGTCTTGAGGCAGTCGTCCCTTACCGTCAGTGTTTGGCGAGCCGCCACTGCGTTGTTCTCCACAAGCTCTTCCACCAGGAATCGAGTCATTTCAGTCCGACCCCGCCTGCAGGTCAGGTGGATGAGTGACTCCCCAAATTTGTTACAACACCGAAACGGTTGGTTGCCTTGCATAGAGGTATTGCTGCTGTTGTATTTTCGTCGGAGTTCTCGCACAAATTCCTTGAAACCTTCCATGTCTGTCCCTTTCCTCACGTAGTTATAAAGTTTGTGAGAATGATTCTGGTGGATATCCACATCAGCAGGCGTGGGGTCGTAGAAGGGGGGGAGCTCGATGATAGGACTGCTGCTGTATTGGCGTGTGTTTTTGACGAAGATAGTCCGTGCAAAAGACGAGGGCTTCAGAACTAGTTTACTACAGACCCCTTTCGCACGTAGTTTCGCTGCCAGTTGTTTCCGTCGGATGAGAGCWTCGTCCTCACCGGCATCCACCGCTTCCGAAACTTGAGTTGCCGAAACTTGAGTTGCCATTGTGCCTTGGATGCTTATCTTGCGTTTCTTGAGAGGTCGTGGCGATAGCGCCTTTCGCTGTGTTTCCTCTTGTTTTTCTTGGAGAGCCTTTTCGTGGAGGTTGTTGCTGCTGCTGTTCGGAGTTACCAATGCGCGGGATAGAGTTTCGTGGAGAACTACCAAACTCTCGTTCGTACCAATCGTGGTAGTATCCTGATCTTTCTTGCTACCCATTGTCGTCCTCGCTTTGCTTGTCGTGATCTCGACGTATTGTGTGAAAATCACTGTCGATTGTTGTTTCGCTGTGATGCGAGGTAGTTTTCGAACGCTTTTTCCAACGTTTCTTCCCTTCAAAGAACCACMGACTAAGTACGAGTACAACGACTTGAGAAAAAAATGTCACAGCAACGTGGCAAAATCACGCAAGATGATGCAGAATGTAATATGAATTGAATAATTAATCCCAAGGAAGCTCGTTCTTCCATCAAACTAGTCGTGGCTTTCATAGATGGTSCTGCATCGACATTAATGGCGCTCAATGGATTTGAATCGGAAAAGAAGAACGCCAACTCTGAATCAGGCATGTCGCCAGCGATATAAAGGGAGCCTGGCTGAGTGAGTCGTTGGKATTGTTCGTGATGGGCACGTACGTACCGGTACAATAGAACTTTACGACGAAACCCACAGGTCACTTAATCGTGGGTTTCAAAAGCATTCCCGCTTTTTCAACGCTTCCACGTCGTGTCTTCACCGGAGACAGCCATCAATTTCCTTGTCAATCGTAGGGTACTTGGTTTGATGTAGAGTATATTTCCCTACAGAATACTTTCGGTGTGACTTAATCGCTAGAGAAAGGTAGTTGTCGTGTGGCGAAAAATGCTGACACAACAAAAATCGAAGAAGTATGTGATGTGTCGTCCCGTCCATGGTGCATCACACCTGCCGAATACTTCGTAATTTCAAAGGCGAACCAAGAATCGGACTTATTTAGAATAGTCCTCAAAACAAACAAAAATCASTGATAACATTGTACTCTAATTGATTACAATACCTGAAGGCAATAATCTCCCTATGACGACTTGTCTTCGACGGTTTTAAAATTTGTATGTTTTTGAATTGATTGGACAGTGTTCTTCACTTGGGGAAGAGAATTGTCGCGTCATGACGCATGTTCTTCTTTCAAATCGCAAAAAAAATCTTCTCCGTGACCTGAATTTTGAGTGCTTACGTTTGACCGAAGTTGTASCTCTAACGTACATTACGAGTACCCTACGTGTTTTCAGTCATCCTCGACACTCGACATCGAAGAAGTTTTTCCCAGGCCCTGTGTACAAAATATTACTCAGAAAATTAGAACAATGTGTCAGACTAGCTCAGAACAGAGAAGAATGTATCGATTGATAGTAGCGACGATAATGATGGTGATTCATCGCGGCAACGCARCAGYACGTATCAAGAACAATACTTGAGAGCACAAAAAATGACGATCATCCAACCAACGCGGGAACTTCTTGGTCAATGAGAAAAAAACAACGACGATGTGTCAGACGCAGTGGGTAAYTCCCTTTATTCCAAAATCTCTAAATTTGATACTGGCAGACCAAAAATTTAGAGAATGTGACTCTAGACTTAGCATATTCAGAGCTGGTCAAAGCACCCTGTCCTAAATACTCTACTTTTAGAGCAAATAAAATTTCCCAGTCCTTTGAAAGACTCAACTGAAAGGCAGGTGCAGCCCGCCAAAATTAAGACTCTGTTGTTCTAAACAACASCACTAAAACAGGAGGAGGCGCCTCAATCAAGTGCCTCTTGTGTCAACAATGGCACTAAGGCACCTCTGTTGACCATCAAGCCCATATCAATAATGTCCCTGCTACTGGTCTTTTTAGTCACTACATTATATTTCCTATCTGTTGCATCAAATAGAGCAAGAGGAGGAGGAGAAGGCCAGCGACTCCAAAGAGGCGGCTCATTGTCCAATCCCTCATATTATTTATGTTAAGGTGGACCAAACGGCAACAGCAGCTRCAGAGTTGGTACTGCTGTTACTAACTACTCTGAAGAAGAGCTAGAGAGCCTCATGGAGTTGATACTGGTGGAGGCACTCCCGATGGATGCAGAACAGTAGTGTTGATACATGCATAAAATACTAATTCAAATTAAATTAACAAACTGAGCAGCAGTAGCAGTATGAGACTGTCATTTGCATACAGTTTATTGCGCTGTTGCAGTAGGTGATATTAGGGATTACACTTATTCCTGCTTGGTGGTCTTCTTGTATGGGTTTTTGTGCATACCTCATATTGGTTTTTGTCCATACMAATACGGGATTAGAAACTGTTTTCTGCTAATTTAGCATGTKAGGATTCCCACAAGAACTATTTGTATCGTTATGCACATGTAGTCCATATCAGCATGCACATGTCAGATATCATAGACTTGTCTTCATTGCAGTATAAATGTGAACTAGTATTCATTAGAGTATAAATCTGTATATTCCATACAATTGGTCTCTATCAGCCAATGCGGGACAAGGTATCAAATGGAGTCGGCAACAGTCAAAAACAATGACATCCCATCGACAAGCGATGAGACATTCTGGGCAACAACAAAACACATCATCGCCGACAACAGATTGATCCCTGACGTGACAGCCTGTGTCCAGCCTTGTAATGAAGTATTTTGGTAAACATCAAACGTTTGGATCCCTGCCAATCGAAAATATTATAAACAACGATGAAGTTACTCATCCAACCACAACTTCTCAAAGCCATGTTGTTTTCTTCAAGCATGAGACTTCAGAGCTAACAGTCGACTGAGAAACTCGACTTCGTCAAAGGCTAGGTTGAAAACGTCCTTTAGAGCGAACAATATGTGCATCTATTGGGCATAGGTAGATGATTGTAGAAGGAACTGATAGCGATTATTCATATCGGTGGACAATGATTCTTTTGATAACGATCCATCCATTCCATCATCATTCACCCCCCAGAATCACCAACGTTGATCCGTCYATTTCGAGTCTCACTGACATGTGGCGGGCTGTATCGATGGAGTCAGTTTCCTGTGGCTTTTCATGCCAAGATCTTAACATCTTTAACAAGTTTCGAGGTTTGTAAAGGTGATTTCGTTGCAGTTTCTTCCGTTGGCTCGTCATTAAATCAAGGGAATTCCTTGGTTGGCGCTTCCATCTTGCTTTGTGCTCTCGTAGAGATTTATCTGTCTCGTGTACAAGAGACAAATCACTGCTGCTGAGCGCCGTCGAGGAACATGTTTCTACGTCGACACACTTTATTCGTTCGTCCTGCGACAACGAAAAACAACTCATCGCCCTAACAAAAGTTTGAAAGCGGTCCACCCGTTCGCAATGGCGCTTAGTCCACAACCGCTGCTCTCGGATCTTATGCGCCCTGTCCATGGCATCCTTGATTTCAGAACGGGAATATCCCCGTTCCTTCAAGATGTGGATACGTTCGAGAGGAAGAAGCTTTGCTGGAATCGACGTCGACGTCGCGAGTGCGACGCTGTCACTGTTTCGGTCGAGAGAATGCTTTCCTTGTTCGTAATCTTCCAGCTCGTAGCAGTTATCTCTTATGTAAACCCAGTCTAAAGAGATGGGTGCCCCCCTTGTTACCGACGGATTGTCACCAAGACAGAGCATGTATTCTCTTATTCGGACGGTTGAAAACCGAACGGTATTCTTCCCATTATGTTGCTTCGCAAGTGCAACCTTTCGTCGGTGTAGGGAATGTGCCAGGGTCTTCTTAAAGATTTCATCGCTGCGCTTCGTGCAGCCAGCATCGTCATCGTTATTGCAGTCGCTATCGCTATCGCTATTGATGATTTTAGTGGTAGGCTCCTCTGTAATCCCTCCCATCTTGATGTAGGTTTGTAGATTTAATGAAATCCAGCACGGTAGTATTACGTCGGTGAATTTTGACTTTGTTTGCTTAACCGTTTCGTTATCGGAGCAGGGTGAAGATGTCACGAAGAATACAAGTCCCCCGGATCACAATGAAAATTCGCACCTTCACAATCCGGTGTTTTTGCTGAAACCGAAAAAACGAAAAAACAGTCTACCTTCTCGTGTTGCGGTTGGATTGACAGAGCGGGTCTACAGCCAGATAATAGTGCGTGTCGGACATCTTTACGAAGTAAGGGAACAATACAATTGTACTCTACGAAGTAACCGTACAATTATACTAATTTCTGGGACCTGTACTTCTAGAACTAAATAACTTGTCATGGAATTTGGTTTTGATTGAATCAATGAGAATAACCATAAGTAAGAGTGATACGTGACGTTGCAAGGCATATTACMGGCACATCAATGATACTCTTCAGGTACAATTTTGAGAACAGTAACGACAACAGTATGGGATTTAGCCTCACAACACCACGTTTGGTTTACTTTGCATGGCAAGCATGACGAATACGGTGGGGGAACCTGTGGGCAATCATAGAGGTTGAAAATAAAATGAGACGTACGACTCGAAGACTTTCTGTATATTGCATACAATTCATTTACTTTCATCCTACTCTACCGGTACCAGTACACTGACCGCTAATTGAATGATGAGAATCAGTTCTTCTATGTTCCCTTTCCAATGCAGCTTTTAAGATGATAGGGATGCGAACCGGGATCAATTGCTCAACTTCAATATCGATACGATGACTTTGGTTGCCTTATTAMCAAATCGGAGAATCGGTCGGCGATGATGTCAACCTTATTTTTTACGAAATTGTTAAACAACCTTCCTAATAATAAATATGCAGTCATTTGTTTTCCAATGCGCTTAAATGGCCACCTGCTTGCACACAATTCTTTGGAAGACTATAAAGCCTACTAGTAGACAACAATTAGTGTATAGCCTGCTGTGCTAACTTTTCAAGGAACTTATAGGAAAACAAGGACATAGTGAGATAAACAAAGGGAATGAAAGAACAATGGAACCTCACATGGCATCACAGCTTCTTCTTGGCCTGTTGGCTTTGTACTACTATTAGCAACTAGTAGTAGCCATGCATTTCTTCTAATGGTACTAGTACTACTAGTAGTAGTAGTACAAAAGTTATAGTAGTACTATTAGCCTCCTTGCAAGTGCTGACAAGTATATGAAGGAATTGACATTGTGCAAATCAAAACACTACTACCAGCAGAGGAAAAGGTTTTTTAAGCTCATGATCCTAGTAGTACTACCATTCTTGTATTGATGCCTCATACTGCAAAGAATGGAAATTATCACCCTTGTACTACTAATCCTAGCTGCTACTAGAAGTACTAGTAATTGCTGTGTTTTTTTTTGTTTCTTCTGTACCAGCAAAATGACCAGCATCATTGGTCATTGAAAGGTAACATTAAAGTCACATGATGCAAAACAATGTACTACTACTAGTGGTGGAAAAGGAACTCTTGCATTGTTTGGGGAGAAGAAGCAAAGGAAAGAAATTAAGCAATGGAGTCACCATAGATCACCAGTAGTAGTGCTAGCAGTATCATACTACTACTAGTAAGGAAGATATCAAGAAGGAATGTATGCAGAACAAGTTCTTGGAACAATAAAAAACCTAAATAGTATGTTTAACCTTGTGAACTAGTAGGAGGGGCACTATGTTAGCCAGAGCCATTACTTCTGCTGACTAGGGGAAAATGCTCCTAGTAGCTGCTCTGAGGGGCAGCATCTTGGTTAGTAGAAGAATGCTTGAATAAAGGCCAGGGAGGAAGATTTTCACCTTCCAAAGGAGATGTCACAATAGTCAGTCAGATGCTAGAGCAAGGCRCTGGTCAGATAAGTACTATGTAGGAATCAGTAGGAAATGTAGTTGATAATTTTCAGAACCAAAGCGTAAGTGTGTGCATTTTAAAAATTTGTTTTGAAAATTATAGTTCTTGCAAGCTATAAAGAACATCAGAATAACTTCAACTATCAGATGCAATAATGTATTTTGATGAATTATCAATACTATTTGTTTTTTATACAGGTATTCTTCTACCACTATTTCTGTAGTATTTAATGGGATGTAAAGTAGTGGCTATGATGCCATCTTTGGCTAGAAAACTATCCTGAAGTTTAACTCTAAATCCTCTCCTGTTTCTGGTTTGCAATGTGCTGCTACTAGTACTAGAAGGGATTCAATCTTGCTGCACAGATCCCTCCTAGTACTAACAGAAGTTTCTACCTACTAGTATATTTGTCCATCCTTCCTTCTTCCAACTCTTTTTATCAAAAGAATATCTGTTCCTTAGTAGTTTTGGAAGACTTCTGTTTCATTTTCTCTCATGAGTAGTATGGTTCTTCCAAACATGCAATTCATAATGCAAAAATAGAACACCAAAAATCTATCAATGACACTGAATGTTTTGCTTACTATCAAGTCCTTTCCTCTGTATTCTAGAATTTGATCTTGCTTCTTGGTTCTGTGGCAGCCAGTATTCTGGTAASAAAATAGTAAATGCTGCTGGGTGCTACTAGTGGTAGTAATTTCTCCTTGCCATATCATCTGTACCCAGGGATCATGAGTTTGTGCTTATACAGCAGTTGATTGTATGCATTGCATGGTGGTATGCTGGTTCTTGGTGTAAGAGTGAGAATATAAGGTTGTTTTAGTCACAATGCATGGGGTTGTGCAATGCCAATGGTTGAGATTTGATGCAGTCTGTTGTTTGTATTAGAGTTATGCTGCTTGTATGTAGTAAGGAGAGAGAACACCTGAAAATTACCATTGTCAAGGTAATTTTGTTGGAAGGGTGTCATAACCTAGTACTAGTAGTAGTAGTAGTATGGGGTGTGTGACTATCTACTAATAGTAATGTAAATTGAGTGCTAAAAGAAAAGTGAGTCAATGCTCTTGTTGAGAATTGACAAAACATAAAGTCTAAAATTGATCAAAGTGAGAATCAAGAAGTGATGTGTGTGAATCAAATAAGTCAAGTCAATCATGAGGATCGATAGTATGGTAGGATTGAGTGGATTGCAGTATGTAGTATAGTATATATCAATAATATGTATGTATCATATGTATTAGTCATATGCATGATATGATGCTGACAGGTTTTTTTTAAGCTATAATTGAGATCACATCCTTGCTTGGAAACTCAGGGCTATCATAGTACTAGCAAATATTCTTCACATGTTATATTACCTAGTACTACTTRCTAGCCACATCAGCCTTTACCAGTGTTGTCCCATTGACTTCATTGCTCCAGTTGTTGCCTAGTATCATAGTGTTGCATGATGATGCTGTTGTTCCTTGGCTTGTCATGTTGCAAAGAGTTCTTCTATTGTAGGTTGCATCTTGCACTTGCATGAGAGTGGAGGAGAAAAATGCCATTCAGAGAAAGAGACATTACTACTATGAATAAGGAAATCCTCCTTGCCAAAGAACAGCAAGTCCTCACCACCAGCAACATTAACAAGAAAAAAYAAGAAATGATTGTTCTCGTCCTCACCAGCAGCACCAACACTGGTAGAACTACTAGCAATAGTAGTAGTGCTGTAACATGAGTGGTAGAAGCAGTATTTGCTAGTGCTAGTAGTTGTTGTTGCAAAGAGTAGTACAGTAGGAAGCCAGTCATGAGCTAATCATGAGCTCCTGGGAATGGACCTACACATAGTAGGGTAAGAGACCACATCCTATACTACATACTATGTACTATATTCATAACTACACTACTACTCACCAAGGTATGAGAGTACAGAGCATTGAGAGTATCCATCATGAYATCTGCCACCATGACACCATGTATAGTATCAAATCCAATTGTGACATTGGAGTTTCAGAACACTACATGATGATGACATCTTAACATTAGTACTAGATAAACAAGATATGAGAATACTACATGAAAAGGGATGTCATAAGGACAGAATCATCATAAGAAGAACTCCTCCTGTCGTAGTAGATCCAATACTACTACTACTACTACTACTACTACTACTACTACTACTACTACTACTACTACTACTACTACTACTACTACTACTACTACTACTACTAGGACCTACATGCAGGGAAGAATAGGAACCAACTACTAAAGTGCTCAACGACAATATCTCCTTACTATTACTAGTAGTATACCGTAGTAGTACCACACCACCAGCAGATTATCACATGAAAGGTGGTGGTGTGTTGACACTGTAGATACTATCCAAATAAGATTATAATCCATTTTTACTGTGTGATAGTACTAGTAGCAACAATGATAATTATTATTGCAACTGCAGCAACTACTAATAGTAGTATAGTAGTATTTATTTAGTGCTACTAGAACTAGTAGGAAGAAGAAATTTTTCCAGCAGTATCCATCATCCTAACGGGACCTTGACGTCCTTGTTGAACCGTGACTGAAATCGAATCTTCCGTTCATGTTTTCTATTTGTGCGGATGCAAATCAGTTTAAGTGTTTACAAATCTTCGATGCCAAACTAAACATGAGTGCTAGATTGATGACCAACTGCAATTTTAGCTAGTTCRCCCCAATCAAAGCAACACCAGAAGACCAACCAAACGATAATTATGACGCGAAAGGGCCTTCGAAGGRATCGGAACGTTTCCGAACGAGCGACGTTGTCCCCTCCAATTTTGTTCGTTGCAGCGATGCTAATCTGCTCTTCCTCGTTTTTTGCAGACGCGTTTCTTCCGCCGGCATCATCATCGACATCAGGTATATGTGGTGCTCTTGAAGCAATATTGGGATCACGGGACCAGGAGATACCAAATGGCKGCTCTTTATCATTGTTGGAAATTGAATCACCAGGAATCACCGAACAACTTTCACGGAGAAAATGGCTGTCTCGAGTTCCACAGCACCTGGGAGTCACGGCCGCTGCAACTGCTCTCGCCACATCAGGGGGAGTCTTTCCTGCCTATGCCATGACGGACAACATCGGAGAGGTTACTGATAAAATATTTGTCGACATTTCGGGTCTTTCCGCCTCGGCATCTGCCGAATTGGGGCAAACCCAACGCATCGTCTTGGGTCTCTTTGGAAAGGATGCCCCTTTAAGCACCCAGAAACTCAGGAGCTTGCATTCCTCTGCGGGACTTGCAGCTCCCTGTAAGCCCCTGAAGGAAGACTTCTTGATTCAACGTGAGCAACTCGAGGCCAACAAAGTTTATAGGTCGTGCACGGAAAACCAAGACAAGGGAGTCAACTACGATTACGCTCAGATTTGGAGAATCGTCAAGGACCAGCGAATTGATTTTGGAAGTTTGTCCGGAAAGTTTGTCGCCCGTGAGTTCCCGACCTGGGGCGAAGTATCAACCGCAAATAGCGCTGCCGACTACCTTAAGCTGAACAACAGCGCTAGATATCTCGTTGCAGTTCGAAAGGGTTCCGACAGTGGTTTCGGCTACACAATTTTTCCGGTCAGCACTGCCTCATCGAACCCAGACTTCTTGGACAACTACCTGGTGGTAGGCAAGGTAATCGAAGGCGATGACGTTGTATCAACGATCAACGAAGTCTCGGTGGTTAACTCGGCGAAAAACCTGAATTATATGGGCATTGTCGGGGGGGGGGGGACCAAGAGCAATGCTCCAAATCGCAGTTGCCGGTACGGAGGCCCCATGTATTGCAACGAGAACAAGCCCCTGACCAAATTGACCATGTTCCGGACAGGGATTTTGTGATACAGGCTCCCTCAATTCGAGATCATTGAATGTTAGGTTTTTCAATCCATATTGCACCTTTTAGTGATCTCTATTCTATTCTCCCTTCGCTTTTAAGGAGATAATACAATATGCCACATTTAATTTAGATCCTTATTGGACTGACATGCATCGTAAAAGCCATCGATAAAGATTGGTTTCATTACATTTCAACACGGATCCGACCGTTGGCTCATTTTCTGTAGCAGTCTAAGAAGCCATCTTTGGCCCAAACAAAATGAAACGGCGTTTCCTTCTCAGTACTTTTGATCGATCGAGATTTTCGATGAGCTCAGCTAGGGCCAAGACTGCGACTGCGTGGTGTGCGCCTGGCCTCGTGTCTTCGTAAACTTCAAATGCTGCGAAGGCGGCTGCCGCCAAAAACAAGAGTGGCCCCAACACAATAGAACGAAAAGAAAATAATAATCCTTTCGGCTCCGACTTCTTCTTGCCACCGTTACTATGATCCACAATGTGAGAAAACCGATTAACCTGATAGTTCAATTCCGACAATGCCAAAAAAACGGCACCATGGTGTGCTCCCGGTTTGAGRTCTTCTACGACTTCTACGATCGATGCGATACTGGCCATCACGCAGGCTGCTATGGCGACATGCCGGCTCACGACAAATCTCAGCAACGCTTGTTTCCAAAACGATAAGAACGATTTCTTGCTGCTTCCTGCTTTCGTCTCTTTGCCTTCCGTGAGTTCTTCCACGGCTTCCGCCAATTCCTCAGTCTGCGTCTGCAGAATGGCAACGCTGCGAGTGAGTCGAATCAGCGACAACAAAAACATCCCGTGCGCGTGTCCTACCACAGATTCAACTTCCTTGTGCAAACTTTCGATAATTTCTAGCACGCTAAAGCTCCCTATTACGAGTGATACCATGATTGGAACGATTTGGGACCTCCGCTTGGGTTGTGAAACTGCAATAGCTGTCCTTGTAACAGTCCTGCTTCCACCCCGAACAGAAAATGCATAATTTGTTACTTTTTCTTTGGATGGCTGATCATCCTCTGCGGCTGTTTGGGGGACACGATTGTGAAGCTTTTGGCTAGAAGAATTATATTCGAGACCAACAGTTCTACTTTTTAAAAGCGATCCATAGGAAAGACGATGATCCTGCAAATCGAATCCATCGACGAMAATATGTTTTGTTGTGTTTGCGACCCCAAGGACTGCCAGTAACACGGCGAGCAGTAGATCAATTGGCAACGTTCCCTGGAACACTTTCCTTCCTCTCCTCTTCCGTCGATCAACAAGTCGGCAAGGTATCATAATATGCTTCTTGTTGTATCCTGATGGTTGAAATGGCGGTGTTCGAAATGGTTGCGGTTTTGCTTTCGGACCGATGCTAATCGCAGGGAAAAATGTTGGAACACAGCTCGTCAGTGCGCGTGCCAGCCAAGATTGGTGCGCACAATCCAATGTATTAGCCAATGAGAAGGGCTGAACAATACCCAATAACATACCGCACCTCGTGGTGGATCCAATAAATGTGCGACCACAAAATATCACTGTGGTTCTCCATATTCCAATGGGATTGGAGGAAGAAGCCAATGAAACCAATTAGAGGATGGGATGAGGGTGATGCAGCTGATTTGGCTGCCGGAGCCCCTGTGAGTGGCTCGGAGCCATCTGCTCATTATTTAATTTCAATTATCTAACCAACAGGATTATAACCACCAATTCTTTAAGGTTTCGTAGCCAAGCTATTGAATGTAACATAATTGAAATTAAATAAACGGTCGATATCTGTGAGAATAAGATCCAAGATACAGAAACCGCCACAGTAGTTTCACTTCATAATAAAGCAGTTTGTTGAGTCGACCATCTGTCCTCCAAGCAAGAAAAATACATTTGTCGAGTAGATACTACAGATCCTCCAAATACTCCAGGAACAAGATGATTCCAACCAAGAACACWCAGTCATACGACCAAGGGAACGTTGGTAGCAACAACGGCAATACCAACGGCCAATCGAACAACAACAAACAAGGCCGGAGCCGCAACAGGAACCGAAACAGAGGAAACGGTGGGTCAGATGGAGCCATACCAAATGGAGACAAGAAATTCACAGGCCTTAACCAGGATGAACTCAAGGGACTCGTTATCAACACATCGAGCTCACAACAGTATGACAAACTGTTCGAAGGGATCAAGGTGATGGCAGGAAAGAAGAACTCCCACGTAAAGACAACGTTGCTCTCGATGCGGAAGCTGGATGAGGATGACCTTGTTCCACCRGTCCCTGATCCATCACGATACACCACCAGTGTTGAAGGTGTCACAATTGAAGATACCAACAAGAAATCGCTGCTCAACCAAGCCTGGCTGGACAAGGCAAAATGAGCTGGAAAGAAATATGAGCAGTATGTAGAGGAGCTGAAGAACCTCTTCTCATCGATTGAAGGACAGCTCAGCCCAAGYGTGAAACAGCAGGTGAGAGCAAGCAAGAACTGGACTGATATTGAGGAAGAACAGAACACCCTGAAGTTCCTTGAAGTACTCAGGGAGTACTGCTACCGCGATAGCAACACCATGGTRCATCCCATGATCGATACAGCAAATAAAATATCCAAGTTCCTRTCATGCAAGCAGGAACACAACAAAGATGGTGCAACATTTGTAGAGGAAACAAAAACAAGGTTCGATGTGCTGAAGTCAGCTGGCATCAAGATCTGGTCAGAGGATATGATCAAGTACACRATCAACAAGCACTTCCAGGAGGTAGGAACAATCGAGTCCTATTACACTATGAGCAAGGCAGAGCAGAAGCCAATTGACGATGCAATGGGRCAGATCCTGCTGTCCACYRTAATTGCCAACGGCTKCAACTCAAAGACACACCGAAACCTAGCCGGAGTCCTGAAGGACAGCTACAGTCTGGGRAATGATGCATATCCATCCACCACACCAAAGGCACTTGAGCTGCTCAATCAGTACAGAGCAACCGCTGGTATGAACAGAGGAGCAGGCACAMACAACAATGGGGCCCGACACCAGCGAGACAAGGACAAGGAGAAGGGATACTCACCAAGGGAGACTGACGAAACAGCSTTYGTAACAAAARGCACGCCTTCAGATGACGGCCCAAGGGTAACCATACAAGAGGCGACACAAGTGTTCATGGATGCCATCAAGGAAGGTGAAGACTTCAGCGACGAGCTGTGCTTCTTCCAAACACACAGCAAGGAACCCGCAGAGGACAGCGACGATGCCACCGAAAACCCCAGGAGTGGGCATAAACTCAACACAGCGGAGCATAGGGCAAAGGAAAGCAATATCCCAACGCACGTGTGGGGAGAAACGCTAGAGTCGTTCCAGTTTGCTCAGCCAAAAGGACGAGTAAACCCAAATTGGATACTGCTCGATAGTCAAGCTACGTGTAACTGCATATGCAACCCACGATTATTGCGGGATATCCGTGAGCATCCCGACGGTGAAAGGATCCGAATTCACTGCAATGCCGGGAGTGTTCTAATCACCAAGGTCGGTGATCTCCCTGGGTTTGGAAGAGTATGGTATCAGGAAGGAGGGCTGGCGAATGTCCTCTCATTAGGGCTCGTATCAGATAGCCACAGGGTCACACTGGACACGGCAATCGCACAGTCTTTCTTTGTCCACAAACAAGACGGGACTACGCGACGGTTCGACAGGATGCCATGCGGGCTGTATGCATGCGACCTAACCGATACCAGTGGCGTGATCCTCACAGTGACAACTGTCAAGGGACAGAAGCAGTTCTACTCCGATCTGGACCTSAAGAGGGCCAAGACGGCGAGGAAGCTCCAAGAAACACTCGGCTTCCCAAGCGTGAAAGCATACCTCCACATGATAGACAACAACCTCATTATGTACTGTCCGGTAACCAGACGCGACGTGCTGATGGCAGAAGACATATATGGTGTCAACACAAACATCGTGAAGGGCAAGACCGTGCGGAGGAGACCAACTCACACCCGAGAAGACATCGAACCAGTACCTGCTGCCATCCTGAAACGATACCGAAAGGTRACACTKGGAATAGACGTTTACACGGTGAATGGAATCAAGTTCTTCAGGTCGATATCAAGRCATATCAACTTCAGAACCAGTAGRACCATACCGGACGCGAAGATGGAAACACTGCTCTCCTGCGTGAAATCCACCATTGGGCTCTATGCAGCAAGAGGTTTTGTGGTGGTCCAGCTGATGGGCGACAACGAGTTCAACTGCCTCAAAGATCCGTTGCTTGAATTGTCCCCACCTGTGAAGTTTCACGGCGCTGCACCCAACGCCCACGAACCATTCATTGAAAGAGACAACAGAACAAGTAAGGAACGAGTGCGGTGTACTTTTGCGTCGGTGCCATTCAAGGCAATGCCACCAAGAATGATTATCGAACTGGTAAACGGTGTAGACTACTGGCTTAATTACTGGTGCAACTCATCCGGAGTGTCAACCACGATTTCGCCTCGACAGCTTTTAACGGGAACGAGATTGGACGCACAGAAACACTGCAAGTTCCAATTCGGGGATTACGTGTTGGGCCATGAAGAGAGCGGAGACAACTCCATGGACCCAAGGGCACGGGACGCTATATATCTCCGGCCCACCGGGGACGTCCAAGGGGCAATGTACCTATTCGACCTCGCGACGCAGAGGCGAATACGACGAAAGACAGCAACACTGGCACACATGACGGACACTGTCATCAGACGAGTGGAAGAAATCGCAAGGAAACAGAACTCACCGGATGGTYTGATCTACGGGGATGCACACGGSCRAACCACCATCMTGGATATCGATACCGATTCCCTGGCCTCCGATGAGGATGCATCAGACTGCTCATTTGTGCCATCAGATGACACATCAATCGCCTCGGATCTCTCAGGAGTGGATAGCACTGCTGATGAGATCACCGTAGGCGCTGACAATGAAGGGACCATGGTCAGCTCAACTGATGAAAGCAACTGTTATAATGAAAACAGCGGATTGAATGCGGGCACGGATACACTCGATGACCGTGCCAGTACGGCGAGACGTAGAATTCTACGGAGACGTGACAACACAGAAAACACGAATCAACCAGGTGCGGGTACAACRAAAAACCCAGGACCGGACRCGCGCCTGCAAGAGACAGGGGAAACCGAAGTTAATAAGCCCAACAGCGGCAATGACCTGCCAGTCTCGGTGAATCACTCGAACAATGAAGCGCCCAACGAGCGTGACGAGCAACACGATACGGACGACGACAGTCGTACGGGGGACAGCTGCAGCGTGAGCAGCAACTGCAGTAGTCATAAAAGCAACTGCAATGAAAATGAAGGCGATCACCATGGCGATCAAGCGGACCCAACAGGGCCAGCAGCCCAGGACACGACAGAGGATGAAGAGGAAAATAGCTCGGTAAGTCAGGAAGAAACAAACACCCGAGTGCTCCGGCCCCGAGTTACAAGAACACATAATAAGTTTGGGAGTGCCGACGGGTTCACTCCAAGCGTACACCACAGAACATCGTCATCAACAGTTGATCACAACTGTTTCTTCACTGTCGGGTTCAGGGAAGCCGTAAACAGGGTAAGCAAACAACATGAGCAATACATGTTCATTGCGGCGGCCATAGCCAAATATAATAACATCGACGCCTCCCTCGTAACAAAACAGTACGGTGTTAAAGCCGGTCTAAAAATATTCGGTACACTAGGGGTAGAAGCGGTGTTGAAAGAGCTTCGACAGCTACATGACCGAGAAGTCGTTAGCCCTGTGTATATTAAGGACCTCACTGAGGAGGAGATCAAGCGTGCTCTCCCTTACCTCATGTTCCTCAAGCGGAAAAGATGCGGAACCATCAAAGGTCGGGGATGTGCAGACGGAAGGTCGCAGCGGGAATTCATATCAAAGGAGGACTCGTACTCCCCAACAGTATCCCTACATGCCCTCATGTTATCCTGCCTCATTGATGCAATCGAAGGGCGTGATGTGGCCACAGCCGACATACCAGGGGCTTTCTTATAGACTCCTATGCCACCGGACGAGGTGGTGCACTTACGATTTGACGGGCCCATGGCAGATATCCTCACTAGACTGGACC